CTGCACATTTTTATATTATGGTCATTATCATAGGGTTAGTGCCTGCAAGCAACAGGGTCTCTAAATGTAGGAAAGCTGGGATTTGCAGGATCCCCTGGTAATGGCAATGTGTCCACAGGGTACCAGTCCTCTGTGTGGCACACGTATCAGAAGCACAACAAATGTGAAGGGAACAGACCTCCCCCATTTAGGCCACCTGGCCAGCATATATTGCAGAGTGAAAACACCAGCAGTAGTCATGCATTTGCCAAAATGCAGCCTAAGAAATATTTCCTAACTAACTACTATCCCACACATTTCTGATCAGAAACAGCAGTGAAAGCCAGAATTAAGGGGAAAAAACCAATATTGCAAACTATGTACATCCTTTCTGCTGGGGCTCAGTGAAGTGTAAACCAGTTGCGGCACAATGTAATCTCCATGCAGACACTTTTATTACAGCAGTAAGTGCTTTTCTATTTAACTGTGAGGTGTTTGGATGATTTCTAGTAAAGTCAGCTTGCACTGAAGCAAACGTGCCTTAGGACAGCCACATCAGCCTGACAAGATTCTTGGTGGCTAGAGAAGCTGACAGGTAGAAAGTTCTCCTGTCAACATCATATGCATCTGCCAGGAAGTGTCCCCATCAGCTGGTGACAGGGACACATGAGGATTCGAGACGGAGACCACAGCTGAGCTCTGTCCCCAGATTACCTCAGGTGACCTTTCAGTTTAAATGTTTTCTGTCACTCCAAGTAAACCTTGCCCCTGTGTCTGGTTCCCATCAGGAAAAGCTGAACAACTCTCGAAGCATTTCTCTTCTCCTCTTCCTGCTGTCATTACTGCTTGGTGACTCACTCCCGAGTATGCCCACAACCTGCTAAGCCATTGCTGCTGGAAAGCCCCGCCAAACACAACACTGCAGCTCAATCAAAATAAATACCACCTGTCTCCTTCTTCCCCTCATAACCACAGGCAAACCTGCAAGCAGAAGAGACCCCAGCCCTCCAAAATGGGGCTCAGGGTGAGCCACACACAGTATGGAGCAGAGAGATCCTGCATGAATTAGCAGGAGAAAGGGGACGGGGACTCAGCCAGGAATGGCCCTTGCTACCTGCTACCCGTCCGTGCTCACAGCTCCTGGGCACCTCTGAGATTGCCAGGCAGAGATCTGAAAGGCTGGGTGAGGTCTCACATGCCCCAAACATCCTCACATCCTCACGCCTGCACAGCCCTGTCACTCGTATGGCCCTGACAAGATATGTCGGTGCACCCAGCCCAGCAGAATGGGCTCTTTCACACCGAATTATAGATGTCTCCAGCTTGGCAAGGAAAGGAAGCAGTTGTGCATTGCTGATGCTGTGGGGATGAATACACTACATTACAGCACAATATTACACAGCTGACAGCATATATGGTCCATTGAGCCCTTCACCCTAAAAAAATGTTGCAAACAAAACCAGTCATGCGAGAGGCAACACAGAGCACGTACTGTGAGCAAGGCTGCCACCACATGGTACAAGGACAAGCTTGCAGACTCCTTCAGCCAGAGCAGAAGTGGAAAAACCATCCTCACACCCTCAACCAGCCCTGGCCTCATTAACCAGCTATGGCCAAATCCTGATGTCTCAGCCTGATCAATTAATTTGATCAGGAACTGTCACTCTTGCACCCTTCCCTCCCCTCCAAGTCATTAAAATCTCTTGCAAAGAAACCGCCAGAGTCTTGCAAAATAGGGATCCCTAAGACACAGATGAGATCTGGCTGTTCTCACTAGGGAAGATTTGAATCAAGTGAACCAGTTCAAGAGTGCCCCAAAGATCAGAGAAGTCTGGGCTCAGCAGAGCCTGGGAGCACTGATACGCAAAAATATACCAAGCTCTTGCAGTTCCTAAACTCACATTGCTTGTGGGCGTGGAATTAATCCAAAAGCATGATACTTCCAATGATGGCTGGGGAGCCTTGGCCTCTCGTGTTGAACTACAGAGCAGTTCAGGTAACTGTGATTCTGCTCTGCAATAACAGAATCATCTGCAAAAGACAGAAAATATTTTTTCTTCCTCCCTTTCAGCCCCCTCAAAATACTCCCCAAAAATGTGGGGGAGAGAGGAGTTGAAAATCTAGAAGAAAACTGAGACTTTTCCATTACACATGGAAATTGCCTTTATTGTTGGAAAAAAACATCATGTGGACAAAAAACATTTCAAACACTATTAAAAAAAAAGCTTTCTCTAGAATGCAGGCCTACCAATACACACCCCAGATGCCAGATGCTGCCCCAAATGTAGAAGCAAGAAGAGCAAGAGAAACCGCAGCTTTGTGATGGAGGAGTACAGGCCAGGTCAGGCCACAAAAGGGTGAGGGGGAAACAAAGCCGAGATTTGCCTTCCTCCATCATCCTCAAGCCCAGGAAGTGTTTTGGGAACTTCTGCCTTTTGTAGATCTTCCATCCAGGAGCACCATTGAGAAATGGTGCCTCCAACAAGCCCCAGGCTTTGTCACCTCCTCCTCCTTTTGCTGTTCTCCTCCCTTGACTGATGGCTGGTTTCTAATGAGATACAGACCCCGCAGCCTTGGCTGGCAGTGGTGCAGGCAGTAAGACACACACCCCCCCTCATCGTGAAGTGGTACCTCTGGCGCCGGCCTTCACAGGGAAAGCACAGCCTTCAGCAGCATTGAGCCTTCATGAGGATGGTGCCTGCCACCTTTGCAGCAAACTCATCTCCATCTCCAAGCTATCACTTGCTTAACTTGCTTGGTGAATAAAGGTCTTTTTATCCTCCATTTTACCAGACAATCCATCAGGCAGATGGGCATCAAAGCCTGACTGACCTTGACTGCGATATACCAGCCAACTCTGAAATTCCTATCTGCAGTTCATCCTCATTCCTGGAGACCATAAAGTACATTGGGTGGGTTTTCCCAGGGTAAGAATACCTTTGTTTATGGGATCAGAGAAAGCTGCAGCACATATTGCCATGAAACATGCTCAGGGCACAGCACTGCATAAACAGGGCACAGGGCAGATGGAGATGTTGACCCTACTGCCTGTCCTCCCTTCCACCTGCCTTCCCTCTGCCACTGATAGCTACCAGCAACCCTTTCCTCCTGGCACGGATCAGATACAGTGCCCTTGTCATACAAACCCAGCCCAAGGGCACTAGAAGCTGGACAGAAGCTCTGCTGGGACAGAGATGGGGAACACAGGCTTTGCTTGGATTAAGCATTTCTCAGGTGACCACTCCATTCACAGAGCCTCTTCTTGTCTCTGAAAGCAGCTTCGGATGGACACTGCCCTGGCTGAAACCACCCACTTTGTGAGAAATAGGTGGCCATTAAAGAGGATGCCTTTGACTTTTCAAAGTGTCTTCCCATATGGAAATAAGACAAGCACTGCCGGATCAATTAACTTTCAAGCACTGTGCTGATTCAGTAGCAGCTTTGCTCCCACCCCCATGGACAATCTCTGCCCTTTCACAGCCGAAAGCAGTTTCTGCTGACCCACCAGCCTGGCTGTTGCTCTATAGCTGCAGGTCATCTATGGGGTTTAGCCTTAGCACCCAGAAAAAGGTGAGCAGCCTTCCAGGCAGATTCCCTTAATCCTGTCTCCTTTAACAGCTTCAGCAG